ATATACAAAAAGCTAGCTAAATAGACCCTCAAGGTATGGGGCACATATATATATTTATATTTATATTTATATTTATATTTATATTTATATTTATATTTATATTTATATTTATATTTATATTTATATGTATGTACGTATGTGTATATATATATATGCATGGATGTATGTATGTATGTATGTATGTATGTATACATAGGTATAGATGTAGCTATAGATATAAGCATAGATATAAATAGTATACATATAGATATCAATATGGATACGGAAGCCCCAAGGACGCGCCGCGCGGTTCGAGGAGCAGGCGCACCGTGGTGCTGCAACTAGCTCTTGCTCATTGTCAGGACCTTTTTTGCTACAAAACCGTGTTCAGGAGCCGCCGCAGCCGTCACAAGCACAAGAAAAGGCGATGTCTGGTTCATGCGGGGGGCTGCTGGCGCTGGTTGTGTGGCGAGTTCTTGTCAGTAGGTACATTGCAGCACGGCGCTGTACAAAACCTTTCGGCCCCAGTGTCTAAGCTCACACACCAGAGTCGAGGATCCAGTAGCTTTCTTGCGCCTGGAGGCGCGACGGTGGAGGACGGCGGCGACACTCAGGCTCGGAATCAGTTTCACAGGACCGTTTAATTTCGGCGTGATTCGGCATGCCTTCCGCCATGGACGAACGGGACTATCGTTGGGACGGCAGGTGCTGAGTGGAGGTCATACAGTGCACATTCTACAGCATGTTCATAACCCGAAATCCGTAATCCGGGACGCTGAACCTTCAACTGGGAATGCCATGCACTCTACTACACTCTCAACCAGAAATCCTGAAACTCAAAGCAGGCGCCGCGGAGTACTCCGAGCGCCAGGGCCATGGCATGACTCCGTCGGTGCCCTCGCTTGCCTGGCGGGTTTGGGTGGCCTATGCCCTTAATTCATAAACGTAATGAAGCAAACGTAAGAGAAGTGGAAAAGATGAACGACGTGACCCTTGGATTTTATCATTATTTTCAGAGCGAAAAGATCCTTCATCAGGGGAGTGGTGGCAGTCGGAGTCGGAGTCGCAGTGGCAGTGGCATAGGCAGTTGCAGTAGTCGTCGTAGTAGTCGTCATAGCAGTAATGGTGGTAGTAGTAGTGGTAGTGGTAGGAGGGAATGGGAGTAGGCCAGCAGCAGCAGCAGCAGCAGTTGTTCTTTGCGGTTTGTTGGTTGATCGAATATGCTTTTACTAAAGTACATCAGAAGCATTGTTGTCATTGGCGTCATAATGTCCATCACTACAATCTTGTCGTCGTCACCATCGTCTTCTTCTTCTTCATCATCATCATCATAGGTGTTATGTCATCACCATCACCAGTTCCATCCTCACCACCGTCATCGTCATGACCATCATCATCATCATCACCACCATCACCATCACCATCACCATCACCATCATCATCATCATCATCATCACCATCATCATCGGTATTGCGCGTCCTCCGCCTTGCTCCTCCTCCTCCTCTTTCTCCTCCTCCTCCACCTCCTGGTCCTCACATTGCGTTGCAGGGAATGTTGACACCGTGAGACCCGATATGCTGATGCAAGTTGCTGCACACGAGCACTACACGAGCCAGGTTCTATCCGGGCTACGGTTATGCTCCCACTGGAGGTGCAGTGCGTGTTTCTGCAAGCTTGTGTTCTCATGATCACCAAGCCCAGCATTCAACGGTGTTGCTAGCCTCGGTGCTGAATGAATTGTGGACTAGACGGTAGAGTTCGGTGTTGGCATGCTGCAATCTTCTGCAAGTGCCGGTCCGTGCAGAGAACTCCTGAACTGGGAGTCTGAGGCCTGCCATGGACACACGCCATGCCTGGCACACAGCTGCCATGGCCGCTATGCCGGCGAGGTTCGATAGCTCAATTTTGCACCTGGTCAGCTCGGTAGCCAAGGCCGCAGTACGGCCAGCCTGCTGACGACGGCGTAGATGTGAAGGCGAACTCCCCAGCCAGCCGATGTGGACAGCTGCACTTCCTGTAGTCATACTGCAGTAGACTGCTCGCCGAAGTGGCCCAAGTCGACAGCATGAAGTAATTTCACCACCCGCCCGTGCCCTGAGTGGCAAAAGTCACTGGGAATGGCGGCGGCCCAAAGCGGCCGTTTGTGCAAGTCCCTCCGCTCAGAAGGGACAGAGTGTGCTATCGAGCCCGAGAGATTGGCTTCCATTGCGGAAACTCGCCTGGGCCTGCTGGCTCTCTGGATGCTCATGGCAACAGCGGCATGGGTTTGCGGTCTCTATGCGATAGTGTACTTTACGATGCACCTCTCGGAGCACCACCAGTATACCCGCTGCCGGTGTGACAGGCGCCGAGCAGGTCTGTGCATCCTGGGATCCTTGACTCTCTACGTTTCTGGGCTCTTGCTGATCCTTTCTCTGTACATATTCAATGCAGACCGCGTGCCGCCAGAATTACAGGTTGTGGACAATATGGACCCGCCCTACGCCATAGATATCCAAGTGGAAAGCGTTGGTGCTTGGACGAACATGTCCAAGATGAGCCAACTGCGCATGGAGTACTTGTGGGGTCCAGGGGTCCCGTACTGGGAATACACCGACATAGCCGGCATCCTTTTTGGATGTTTGGTTCTCGTGCTTCCGCTGACGGCATATGTGCTGGGGGACGATGGAGATGAGGACGATTGACAGTGTGGGCCCCCTCTTTTAAGATCCTGGGATTCTGGGATGTGGTTTCATTGCCGGACTTGGCAACAGATGCCAGTTCAGCAGTCTCAGACAGAGACAGCACAGCCGATCGAAGAAACTGTTCCAGGATCTATTGAAGGGTCTTTCACGATTCAGGCGCACCTGGCTTCTCCTTGAAGGGGGCGTCAATAGGCAAGTGACTCTGCTCATTCCCGAAGCCCGAGGCCACTTTGCATGTGTTCCCGCCAAGATGCCCTGTGAAAGGTTAGTGCCAAATACCTTATGCGAAACGACTACTGTCCACTCCTCAGCTATTTGGAGGATTAGGTCTCTCTGCAGAGGCAGCTTGAGCTTTGAGGGTGGACTTCCATGGTTTGTAATTCAGGTGCGGCCTGCTTGGGCAATGAGGATGATAGGAGGCTTTTGTGAGGATACAACGCTGTCAGGGACAGCCTGTAGTAAGTCCGTGCATTTCAGCAGAAAACAGATATAGCTTCAGACTATCTGCCAGCTCAAGTCAGGTGCTTCCAGGTCTTTGAGTCGGAAGACTCTGGCAACTGCTCCTACGTACTGCTACTGCTGCTACTGCTGCTGCTGCTGCAGCTGCTGCTGCTGCTGCTGCTGCTGCGACAGCCACTGCCGCTGCCTGCCGCTGCCGCTGCCACTGCCACTATCTGGTGCTGCTGCTGCTAACTACTACCACTACTACTACTACTACTACTACGACGACGGCGACCACCACCACGACCGACCACGACCGACCACGACCACGACCACTACCACTGCCACTACCAGACCCACTGCCAATACCACTTCCACGACTAGTACTACTGCTGCGACAACAATTACTATTTCTTTTTCTGCAGCTACCACTACTACTACCACTACGATTATAATTATTACTACTGTGGCGGTCCGAATTATTCAGTGTGCCTCTTTAATGCTTTTTTCCTTATTCAAGCCGGGACCACAAAATTAGGTGTCCTGATTAATGCTTTTTTTTGGGCCTGTCATTTTTGTTGGTTGTGTTGCTTGCCTTCTAGAAATGGTCAATCTTAAAGCAGCCACTTCCTAAAACCCCCCGCCAAAACCTAAAACCCTGGCCCTGAAGCCCGAAACTCTCCCTAAACCCGAAACCGCCCTTAAGCCTAAACTGCCTAAACCCTAACCCTCAAAACTCCACCCTAAACCCTAAACCCTTCAACCCTAACCACGCCGTACTATTGCTGTACTGCGACTGTACCACTTCGGTACTACTATTGTACTACGACACTACTGCTGTACTACTGTACTGCTAATGTACTGTACTACTGTACCGTACTACTGTACTGCTGTACTACTACTGTACTACTGTACTACTGTGCTACTACTACTGTACTACTGCACTACTACTATACTACTACTGTACTACTCATGTACTGCTGTACTACTGTAGTACTACTGTAGTACTACTGTAGTACTACTGCTGTACTATTGCTGTACTACTACTGTACTACACCTACTACTACTACTTCTACTACGACGACGACGACGACTACTACTACTACTACTACTACTACTACTGCTCCTGCTGCACCAGCAGCAGCAGCAGCTTCATCACCATCCTCATCACCATGACCCTGACCATGATCATCGTGAGCGTTGTCGCCCGTCGTCCTCGCTCTACTCCCGATCATGCTTGTCATTTTCTTCACGTTGTCATCCTCTGGCCCCGCTCGTCCCCCTTCATCTTCATCTCTTCAATCTCGTGAGCCCTTCGCGATGACGTGAGGGGAAAGCTACCAGGTCAGACTTTCATTGACACCGGACTGCGACCGTCCGTGCCCCGGAAGCGTGGCACGGATTTCCCCTGGAGCCCAAATGGGCTTCCCTTGTGGCAGAGATCTTAGATGACCAGGACATGAGCGATGCAACGGCACAATTGATCGGGTTCAGCCAGACTAAGGCAGAACTTCATCCGGGATTTAGACTACCAGAACCGCTATTCAGACTATCCCAAGATCGAGCGATTGATCAAGCTCAAGGCGCCTTGTGATTTGCGATTTCAGGGCTTTGGGACTTTCGAGACTTTTGGCGGACGGTAGGCTTGCAGGAATTTTAGGATTGCAGGCCCTGCGGCTTGTGGGTGTTGCGTTAGTGCACATCTGGCTGGCTTCTTCTTTTTGATTTCGGGCCCTTCAGCCAAGCACGAATCGACTCCACCTGGCCTTCGCGATAACTCTTGCACCTCGCGGTGCAACTCTTGGGGCTTTGCATGTCATGACCGCGGTTGCCGATGACGACAATCATGTTGCTGATCATGACCGGCTGCGTTCGGCTGTGTCCGGTAGCGTAAAGAGGCTACACGTGGCTACACGTTTCGGGCTTTGCTCGAGCCGTTCAGTGCCATGAAAGCTAGAGCTGTGCACGGTCGAGGTTCTCAAGAGGCCCATCCCCGCCTTCTAAATTCAAGCTGGGTTCAGGACGATATCTTGGCCAAGCGGGCCACGCCAGGAATGTCGCTAAAGTGCGACTTGAAGACCCTGAGCTGCAAAGACCCTCAATTCCCTCCATGCTTGGGGTCTTGAGAGCTTGTCGGGGTCTTGACAGGCTCCAGGGTCGAGAATCGTAGGCTTGCACCTGGTGACCTCTCTTCCCCGGCAGAGCCGTGCTCTGGCTCAAGAATGTTCTGATTTCCGGGTTTGTGGCGTCGGCCAGTCTTATGGAAGTCTTTCTCAGTGCGAGTCCTCGAGACTGGGGTCCTCCAAGCGTGCAAAGCGTCTCCGCCGTCGTTAGCAGCGCGGGTCTGTCGGGACAGCGCTGCACGGGTGGTGGCTCCTTGGTCTCCTCGAGTTCTTATAGCTCCTTTAAAGAGAGTGATCCCTCCTTTTCGTTTCAAGCCACGCGGAGCGCGAGGGACTTGAAGGTCTTTAGCGATAAAATGGCCGGGCATCTACAGGTGGTGACAACCTGCCTTGCGCAGATGGACAACGACCTGAAAGGTGCCGCGCTGGCCACAGAAACCCTTTTCGTGGAACTGGTAAACTCCGCGCAGACAGTGGCGGGAAGCTTAGCCATGACGGCTGTCAGTGCTCTGGAGAAGCTTCCGACGCTGCTTTGGGCGGCAAGGAGTCAAGGACGTGAGCTGCAAGCTTGTGTCGGCGAGCTTCATGTCAGCATGGCTGGTCTGCATAAGCAGATGCAGGCAGTCCGCCGTGACTACATCGACCTGCTCGAACAAGTACAGTACGTGGGGCAGTGCTCGCATGTAACACTGGACCAGATTGCGATGAGCTCTCTACCGGAACCTGTCGAAGATGAGCATGGAAGCCTGGAGTGCCAAGTCCGATCCGGTTTTGACCTGACCACAGTGCAGAGAGAGTCACAGCAGTACCTGGAGCTGGCGCTCATGCAGTTAGATAGCATGTGCAACATCTTGGAGGATTGCTGTGACTTCTGGTTGACACTGCACCAGGCAGAGTTGCAGGTCAAGAAGCTTGAAAAAGAATCCAAGGCCTTGTGCGAAGGGACTTTAGATGGCCCAGGTCCTGAGCCTTCCAAAAGGCATTCCAGGACAGCAGCTTTGCCAGGCTTTTGCGGACACTTACGGTCTTTTTGTGGCGCGTATTCCGGGGTCCCGCCGCCCTTTTTAAAGTCACATCCCTTGCCATTGAGTGCCTCCGTCCTGCAACAAGGCAGCAGCTCGGACACTTCCTCTCGGCATCCGAAATGAAATTGCATGAAAAAGTGAAGGGAGGAGGGAAGCATGCTGGCCCAAGTAGCGGTTGTATCCTAAACCCTAGGCCCCAAGCTTGGCCCAAGCCCTAGACCCTAAGTCCTAGGCCTTAGGCCCTAAGCCGGATAAAGGCATCGTGAACACCCGGCGGAGACATGTTGGGAGCCCAGGCACTTCGACCTACCAGGCCTGCGCCCGAGTGCCCTTCGTGTTCATCTGCGGCAGGCCGAGGTAGGCGACTTCCAGGTTCTTTGCATGTTGTCATTTCTTCTCACCTGTCTCCTATCTATCTACGTGCCTGTCGGTCTGTCTGTCTGTCCATCTGCTTGTCCATGTAGCAATCTGTCTATCTATTTATCCATCTATCTGTCTGTCTACCTATGTGTCTGTCTATTTATCTATCTGTCTGTCTACCTATCTATCTGTCTGTTTATCTAAGTCTATCTATCTATCTATCTATCTATCTATCTACTTATCTATCTATCTACCTATCTGTCTATCTATCTCTCTATCTCTCTATCAACCAATCTGTCTATCTATCTGTTCTCTATCTCTCTATCAACCAATCTGTCTCTCTACCTGTCTACCTGCCTCGCTGTGTCTCTCTCTCTCCCTCGCTTTCTCAATCTTTCTGTCTACCTTTCTGCCAAGCTTTGTGGGAAAGCTTTCTGTCCGTCTCTCTGTCTGTTCGACTGTGTACTTATCTCTCCGCCTGTCTATCTCTCAGTTCCTCTATGTCTCCATCTCTCTGTCTCTCTGTTTATTTAGCTGTCTTTCTAACAACACCCTTCATCCATCCGCCGAGCTATCGAGCTATCGATCTGTGGATGTACATGTCCCTCCCTCGATCTACCAATCGATCTATCGATTTTCCGATCGATGCATCCATCGGTTCATCTACCAATCAAAATCCATTTGTCTATTTATCTATGTATCTTTCTATCCATGTGTCTGTCCGTCTACCTACCTACCTACCTGCCTGCCTGCCTGCCTACCTACCTACCTACCTACCTACCTACCTACCTATGTCTCACTCTTTCTCTCTCTCGCGTCCGTCTGTCTGTCCGTCCGTCCGTCCGTCCGTCACCAATCCGCCTACCTGTGAGCATCTGTGTATATAAAAATAAACATGTAAAATTAGATAAATATAAATATAAATATAAATATAAATATAAATAAATAAATAAATATATGTATATATACACACATACACATTTACAGACCACAGCTCAGCCAGGGATAGGTCGCAATTCCGACATAATCTATGTCCGCCCAGAAAAGACTTCAGGCATGAGGCATTCTGCAGGAAGAACCGTACGAAAGGGACGCTGAGGCCTTGGCACTAAGTTTGACGTGATACTCATCGACCCGCCCTGGGAGGAGTGCGCTTCCCGCTGCAGCATGTGATCTACAGTTTTATCATATGTATATGAAAAAAAATATATATATATATGTATGTGTACAAATAGATAACATATATTATGATAGGGGATATGTATAATACATAATGTACAACATGAAATGTGTAGTGTCAAAGTAGCTGCTTTCTTCTGGTGAGTGGACAGCGTTGTCGACATTCGCTTGTCGCTGCTCCTATCGCATCAGCATCGTTTCTGTCCAGCCGCACCCTTCGGCCAGGTACAATGCAAGAGTCGCCGGGATGTACGTCCCAGATGAGGATGCATCGCCAGATTCTGAAGAGCTCACCACGGATCTTCCAGCGACTGGATGCAGGACCTGGCTACCTGGACTCTAGAAGAGCTCAAGACTCTCAAGGACAACGGATGCATTACGTTGCACGTGTCGGGCAGTTGCGGATGGTTCTACCGGGCTTCAGATGCATGTTGGCTCGTTCTGACCGGAGCTTGACGCCAGATACTAAATGGTCCTTGCATGCTTCGGTGCAGGTTCGTTCCATCACAAGGCAGTGATAGGGAATCGGTGGTTAATTGTACTCGATCGAATGGGGATGAGCTCTTCCCTTTCCCATGGTGCGGCCAGATCGGAGAAATTGCGGACGCACAGTCCTTCTTGTTCCTTTGGTGCGGCGAAACGCCTGCTTCTCAGCAGACCTCACGTGCACGTGGCTGCCCTGTTACGGCCAAGAGTGATAGGGTTTTAGATTTCAGACAGACGAGGAAAACATCGTATTGTGCCATGGCTTACCAGAGTCAAACAACTCGCCGAAGCCTCAATCCCGAAACTAGCGCTGCTTTCTTTCGGCGGAATCTGAGGCACCTGGAGCACGGTCGTGAGCTCTTGAAGAAGTGGGGCTTCCGACGCATCGAGGTGCCGTTGCCAAAAGTGAGTGTGGACTCTGCAAACAGCCAGAAGTTGGAAACGGAGGGGGATTCATTTTCAGCTTTTTTGCATTTTCGTTTTGTCTGGGGGCGGGGGAGTAGAAGGAGGGGCCGGGAGGAGCGGAAAGGAGCACATGTAACACTGTGCGCAGCCGTTTCGGGTGTAGCCATGCCACACACACAGGCATATATATATATATGTATATATATATATACTTATAATATATACATTTTGTTATTCTCTCTCTCTCTCTCTCTCTCTCTCACAATATACATACATACATACATACATACATACATACATACATACAGACAGACAGACAGACAGACAGACAGACAGACAGACAGACAGACATATATATATATATATATTATGTACATACATATGTGTGTCAATGTGTAATTCACATCACAAATACCTGAACAAATAAATATATAAAATTATGTAAGTAAAAACATAAGCTAAGACAATAGATGAATAAATTGTCAAACATACATGTATGTGTATATATACAT